AATTGTAGATTGAAGATGTTACACCTATCTAGGACCTGAAGCTCTACAAAAGGCGTTGAATTACGTCGAACAACAAGAAAATGCGAAAGCAGCTGATGTGCTTTTTATGAAACGTTGGAGGAATATTGCTGCCAAAAATAGGAACAATGCAACGTGTACAGTTAAAAATTACTTCCTTTGTTACTAAATACTCGTAAATAAGTATGTTTGTATATACATTTATATTTTACGTAACTTTATATAGGTATATACTTACTTAGCCCTTGGGTCCACATTATTTCGGATAATGGGGATTCTACTGTATAACACATGTTATTCTCCAGTGTTCAAAAAATATGGGCCTTATAGGGTCTTCACAATACCCCTATAGCATTCATGGCCACCTTGAGTACGCCAATGCGATAAAAAGAAAAAACTACAAAAATACATTCATTGCTTCACTGCGTTTAGAAATTAAGCACGGCGGGAAGAACGAAGCGATTTTAGAAGCGTTTCGCAATTGTTTTCGCAAAAACGCAGCCGTTTCGACGAATAGACGACAGAAATCAGTAAATAAAATCGAACAAGAGTTTGTGGAAACTTTCTAACAGGTAACAATATGCCTCTTTATTAGGTTATTGCAAAACGTGTGTAGACGGTCGGATCATCGGGTAGAACTTCTTGGAAACAGTTTTTCACTAAGTGTACAAACAGTATATCACATTTTTAAGTACGACTACGATCTAAAGTTGCTATGAAGCAGAGGAATATGTCGTGTTGTTATTCAAAGATTTCTGATTGTTTTAAGAAAATTCCAATAAATCTATAAATTTGAAATAAGAAAGCAATCTTCAGTTTGCATTAATTTTCAAAAAAATATAGTTTGATTACAGAGATTTCAGACAAGTCTCTACAAATGATAAATTTGCTTTATTTCGGCTGAAAACAGTTACTAAGGTCTGAACTGGCGAGCTATATACTGCACAGTTTCAGACATGGTTGTTTTGAGAGCTGCCCAAACCGGGTTCGAAAGAGAGAGAGTACGTGAACTGCGTATATTGCAGTGACGAGGAGGATACACCAACCTGATGATTTACTCGAATGTGGTAGATGGTGTGACTAGCAGAGGCAGGTGGGCTCGGCGAAAGGCTCATTGGTGACAATTTTTACAGGAACATGCGCGGGTAAAGGGGTTGACATTCAACCAGTAGTAATGTGGTTTATTTCGAGCAAAGTACGTGATAAAAACAGACCAAGGAACCAACAGTAGGTTTCTGTCTGCTGGGTAGTACTTTTACATACCTACGTACTAATAATGTAGGTATACGTACGAAGCGTAAGAATGACCAATACCTTCGGTATGAATGATGAAATGCTGTAAGCATGGGGCGATTAACACAATAAAAATACTAAACACTTCCGTATTTATAACTCAAAGAGAATTCCGGTTGTAAATGGTTATAGACAAATATAACGTAAGAGCAGGGTTTATAGTTTTTAATTGGCAACTACTTGTTTGTACTTCAATCAATTGCTCGTTTTTATTAATTATCTGTTGTTAAAATTGTTTACCAGTGTTTCACTCAAGGTATTTACGCAACTGGTATCGCAAAACCTACCTTTTTCCACAATTAAATACAATTCTTAATTTTTAAATACGAAAATGTTTATGCAAAAGGTAATTGATTAAATTGCGATTTATTCGGAAAATACTAGTAATGGCGATTGAAACTTGACCCATTTCGTTAATTTCGCAGCCAAATTAGAAATATGCATTAAGCAATTCCGTTGAAATTTATTAAAATTAAGGCGAAAATTACATACAACCTTGGCCTGTTGGCAATACATAAGTAAAACATGCAGTGATGATTGCTTTGCTATTACCCAATTAAACTCGACTGGCTTTTTTTTAGTATCTAAGCAGATAGTTTACTTGATGTTTTTGAACATACAATATTTTCAATAATATTCTACCTAAACCAGATGTAATGGAGGATTGAGATTTACCAAAAGTTATTTGTTTATCATCGATCGCATCGATCGATTGCACCAGAAGATATATTTGAAGTAGCTCAGAAGAATACAAGCCAAATGATCGGTTGCTTTTCTTAATAACACTTAATAGATATATTATCTTCAGATTTTTTTATCGGTAGGCGGCTAGCAATCTAACAGTTTCTATCAATATACTCATGGAATCTCACAATGAAATTTACTCTTATTCAATAATTGAAGCAGGCTTCTTTCACTGAGAGTTGACCTTTATTTGTTTCCCAGTTTTCTGGTTTATCACATTACCCTGTGCAGGAACGGAACTAGACAGAAGTTTTGTGGGGGTGGGAGCTTTTGAGAGTCGAGGCCGTCGGCAATTGGAAATTGAAGAGCAGGGGGGTGGCGGCTGCATCAGTGTTGTGAGATTGGAAGAGTAGGAGGGGGGTTGAATTTCCTGCATATTTTTCTTTTTCCGGTGACCGGCACCCTCCTCAGTCCCCCCTCTCCACGTGGATTCGCCACTAACCCATTCTAAACACCCCAACACATATCGGGTTTTGATAAACAATTTAGCACCATGACGCTAATAGCTTCGGTGTCTTGTGCCGAATATAATCCTTCATGAAATGATGACCGTGTTGTGTGGGATGGACAGGGTCAACCTACTTGACACCATTTTTTTCTTTAACTTGTGTTCCAGTAGATTATATCATTTTTGACTAATAAAAAGTGGATGCGAGACTTTTTCTGGCATGACCCATATTCTTGTAGAGCTTCTCATTTAACACATTTATGCCAGATAGTATTTTGCCTCCATACAGTTACCCCAATGATTTCGCTATATTTCGTAGACTAATATCGCAATCGTGCTACCTCCATATTCAGTTTTGGGCTTCATGATAGCTCCAGCACATAAACAAAACAGAACTAATAACGTGTCGTTAAAAAAATGGTGTTTACAAACATCTCAATTAACGTTGAGCTTGACTTTAAATGTTAATGATTTAGATATTCTACCATACCAAACAGACTGAATGATGACAATTAGCACAAAACTCATCGAATGGATACTAAATTGCTAATATGACATTACTCCATAATCCATAAATGTTATTTGCACATTATGAATCAATCCGTTTGGGTTTTGTAATCGTATCCATTGCAACGCCTAAAAAAGATCGACATTATAGCCGATATGGCGTTAACCATAATTTTTTGCAAAAATCTGAGACCTACTTCAGGCCCAACTTTGGCCGCAAATCTAAAGCCATACTAAATTTGGATTCTGACTATATCCAGATTGAGCAATTCAATAACTAGACATGCAAGGAAATCAGTTACCATAAACGTACCATCGCTAGTTCTAGCACAGTGGCGGTCATGCTAGCTGGTATAGACAAATCGCACTGTTATAAACGTGTGTTATTAGACCTTTAAAACATATTTTGTCTCATTTAGACCCGATGTTATCGTGAACCCGCGGACCTAATTCGAAAAATCAGAAATTCACTATTTGGTCCATTGATCTAGATTTGACCCGCGGATCAGAATTCCCATCAGAAAGCATTTTTGAAAAATAGAATCTAATAAATATAGCTAATTTCTTCTAAAATAGCTCTCAAACTATAGAAAAATTATACGATTTGTGTAAGAAACACAATCACCTAGTTTAGCTACAAGCACTGTTTCTTCACTTGCTAGTAGGACCAAAATTTTCTCCTAGGGACAGCAACTTATTGGAAATAATAGTCACTAGTTATTCGAGAGAAATTGTTTTGGAAAAAATGGCGTCAGGTGAGTTGACTCTACTTCCCATGCTACGCTGTCATCATAATCTTTGGAAACGGGCTACTTTCCTACAGGATGGAGAGCAGCAGTGGTTGTACCAATTCCTAAAAAATCCAATCCGACCTACCTAGCTGACCTCAGAGCTATCAGCCTATTACCCGTTCTGTCAAAAGTGTCGGAGAAAATAGTTAATTTACAAATTTCCACATATCTTGAAAAATACAAAATATTGTTTTCTAATGGAAAAAGAAAAATGGTGCTTCATTAAAGATTTTTATAAATAATTAAGTTTTAGAGTTTGCCGAGTCTGTAAAAATACTTGGTGTACTAAAATGAGGTTTGATGAACATGTGAAGAGTCTGTCCCAAAAAACGTACCTCAGGTTACGTACTCTTCTGGCAAATGATATTTACCCAATTTTAAACTTTTCAAAAGACTTTGAGAGAGTTTAGTCATATATGTCCTAAATTACTGTGTTATCGTCTATTTTTCGTAATTAGAATGCTTTACAAAAAAACATTAACCAAATCATTGCCCATTCAATTACCAAATATTGAAGTAGATGAAATTTGAGAATTAAGTCAACTATCACTATTTAATTTCATACATAAATTGTTGCATACGTCAAGAGATGAGATATATCCAGCCCCACACCCTGCAACCCATAACCCCCAATTTTCAAGCATTATAAAAATGTTGTCGAACATGGTCAGGATCTTCTGAAAGTCAAAAACGAAGTTCTAGCGATTTTAATTTTTTTGTTTTTTGTCTTTCTCTTCGCCGCCACTGAACAGATTTTTGAAAACCACAAAGATTTTGCGTCCTTGGCATAGTAGTACTGTTAGCGGACATACCGACAGACAGGCAGACGGAGATGTCATAGTTTTTCGTGATCTACATATCATATAACACACAAAAAAACATATCTCATTTTCTAAAATTTCCACGATTACAATACTTCTCCGCCAGTAGGCGTGGGAAGTAAAAGTGACATATATATATAGGTCTTACCTCGAAAGTTGAATGTCTCAATAGAATGCGTGTGACTATACCTTATATTTTCAAGCTTTTCCCATCAGCAGAACAATTTTGTTGGCTATTAGTTCATTGCTGAAAAAGCCTGAATCATAGGCAACCAATAATTGATGTGGTAACGACAGAATACCAACAGAAGCTAAGCAAACTGACTTATTGACTACGACCTGGTTGTCATTTCAGAAGACCAGCAAGCTTTTGAACTACCTTGCTCTACATCTCGGTCATAGAAACAATGCTTACCAAAACCCCGTGTGCAGTATGCTCACTATCCAGCTTGCCGTCCACACAGAAATAGCACTTGGTCTCCGGCGTCCAGTCTTGGAGCCGTTCCAAGGCCGCCTCGTTTTCGTTTTCCTTCTGACACTGCTCTTCTTTTGTTTCCGACGCCGCCGCCTCTGCCGCTGGCGAGCTGCCGTTGTCGCCTTCGTCCTCGCCGCCGCCGTTCGTCTCCTGTTTTACTGTCGTGGACGACTCGTCCTGTCAATAAATAACAAACTGAAATTATATTGATCCACAAACCGTGAAAAAAATGAAACACTGCTATAAACAGTGCTTTTTAAGTTGGAACAGGAAGTTTCTTTTTCGGATACAAGTACATTTGGAATAACAAAGTTAATGTGTGACAAAAAGGTAGCAAAAGCGTAAAAAACGGAGTCAAGTAGGCTGATTCTGTACTTTCCACGGAGTTCTCTCATCCGTTACATTGTGTTCGGTTTATTTCCACACATAACGTCATGTGATTCAAAAGAAATTGATCAAAGCGATTGTACGTAAAGCACAGAGTCAACCAACCTGACACAAAGTATATTAAAAAAACAGATACGTTAAATGTACTTATGATACAAAAAAGCAAAAGTCATGTGTCATGGGTCATATATTCTTAATGCCGTTACTGAAATTTCCGCCAATCCGTGGTGAAACATACGTCGCACATCTATGGCGTGTCGTCAAAGCCAGTGACTTTACTGGTGTCTTCGGGTGGTGGGGCGGTCGCACCATCGGGAACTGGGAGCGAAATTTGAGACGTGTAGCTCTGACATAGCATTCAATTGGCCTGTTTCAATAGATGCATTGGAGCTGATCAGCGTCTGAATTTGTTTAATGAGTGCATAGTGTTACATATATCATCTCAATGACAGAATGTCGTTACTAATACCAAATACACAAAATTTACAACCCCTACACCCTGCAACCCCTACCTGCAATTTTTGATCATTACATTATTTTTCAGAAAATGATCAGGTGTATCATAAACCTCGTTTGAGCGATTTTATTTTTTCGCTTTTCAACCGCAGCTCCGCCGCCACTGGGTCGATTTACAAAAAACTACAAAGCCTTCCCGACCCTCTTCTGGTATACCCACCACGACGCTCTTGGTGGGTATACCAGAGCTCTACAAATGGCCTTTGTACGAGATTGTACAAACTTTCGTGGCGCGGGATGGAAACGTCCGTCCGTCTCCCCTAGATCCACGACAGTCCGCAAAAACGATGTGAATACACCAGCAAAGCATCAGCAGCATCTTGATACGCGGAATCCAAAATTTTGAAGAGTTTTAAAAACAAATATCTTCGTAAGATGTTGATTTTTATGAAACCATCTAAGTTTCTGTTTGAATATTATAATTATACATGTTTATGAAAGGAGTATGAAAATTAAGTCATGAGATAAACGAGAAACATTCGTTTTTTTTACATTTGGTGTTTTATTTGCTAATATACAGGGTGTTTCAGATTATTGTTGCATAACTTCAAGATTCGATAGAACTTTTAAAATTAATGCATAAAGTCTATATAAACATGGGTCGAAAAATGCGTGGCTTCCGAAATATAGGGTGTTTTCATTTACTTTCTAAAATAGTTTTTTTTTTAAATATTTCGAATAATATTTGATGTATAACAGTGAAAATTGGTATACACGGGTTTTTGGTACGACAAAACGAACCATGGGCATAGTTTTTTCTTAGTGCAATTTTTTGCTTTTTGAATAAAAAAAATGATTCTTCGCACTTTTCAACATAAAAAAGCTCTCTTGTGAATTTTCGTTATAGTTAGCCGTTTTTGAGTTATTTCGATTTTTAAGGTTCGATGCATTTTTAATTATTTATGGGAAAATGATATTTTTTTACATTTTCGATTTGGGCATTACAAGTAATTAAGATGATCGTTTAGATTGCGTTTTTAAACACAGCAATAATTCTTAACTCCAAATAAACACAAAAAAACAGAATATTAATTTGTTTAATTTTCCAATATTATTTTTAACAAATTAAATTAATTATTTACAACTAAAATGCTATTGGATAGTTAGGACCAACATACAAAATCTAAAGTAGTTGCTCGAAATGTAAACCCAATTGTTCAATACACAATTCACATCTACGAATGATCGAACGTGGTATAAATAAGGCCTGATTCTGTCTATTAGCATATCTCTTCGTGGTTACGAGAGTCTGGTACACTTTTTCTTTTAGAAATTCTCACACAAAGAAATCTAATGGATTTAGGTCAGGGGATCGTGGAGGCCAGGCGACTGGTCCTCCACGGCCGATCCATCTTTCTGGATAATTTTCGTCCAGCCAGTTTCTAACTATTCTCGAATAATGAGCTGGACAACCATCAAGCTGGAACCAGGCCAATCTTCTTAAATCTAACATAACATCATCCCACATATTTGCGTGTTCAGCCTTTAAAAATTCCAAGAAGGTCGCAGCATTTAACCTTGCAGGCAAAAGGTAGGGTCCAAATAGTCGATTACGGTAGATACCAATCCACACTTTCACACTAAATTCATGCTGAAAATTTCTTTCCCGGACTGCATGCGGATTTTCATACGACCAAATATGTTGATTATGAAAATTTACCACTCCACGTCTAGTGAAGCATGACTCATTGGTCCATAAAACGTTACTTAAAAACTCCCTATTATTATCAGTTCTATCAAGAAACCACTGACAAAATGTGATTCTTCGTTCTTCGTCCCCTGGCTGTAGTCCTTGGACAGGTTGCAAATGGTAAGGACGCCTATGGTCATTTCTAAGAACACAGTGAACATGGCTTGCTGAAATTCCTAAGGCACCAGAAACTCTCCTAACACTTGTGGTCGGATCTCTATCAAACTCACGCAGAATCATACGGGTAAATCTGCGCTGACGAACATTTATGTTTTGATCACTATGGAGATTTCCAAAACCATTTTCAATTATTTGGCGATGCACTCTTACAAATACTGAGCGAGTTGGATTTCGTCTGTTTGGAAATCTCCGCGCGTATTCTCTGGCTGCTTCTGCTGCGTTTCCATTTACAAAGCCATACACAAAATGAATATCCGCTAAATCTTGATTGGAGAATAAAAATGGCATTTTTATAAAACTTACAAAAAAAAACAGGTAAAAGAAACTAAATTTCGTGCATTCACAAAACTAACTGTCAACTAATTGACGTTTAACCTTATTCTGCTTTCAATTTCAAAAATATTTGCAGGCGCAGCTAACTTCTAAAAATTATCGAGATACTGACTTTTAAACGTTATTTTATCATAAATAATTAAAAATGCATCGAACCTTAAAAATCGAAATATCTCAAAAACGGCTAACTATAACGAAAATTCACAAGAGAGTTTTTTTATGTTGAAAAGTGCGAAGAATCAGTTTTTTTATTCAAAAAGCAAAAAATTGCACTAAGAAAAAATTTTCGGTCATTTTAATACACTACAGGTACAGTAGAGAGCGCCGTCTAGCGACTACAGTAAAACTATGCCCATTTTTCGTTTTGTCGTACCAAAAAACCCTTGTATACCAATTTTCACTGTTATACATCAAATATTGTTCGAAATATTTAAAAAAAACTATTTTAGAAAGTAAATTTAAACACCCTGTATTTCGGAAGCCACGCATTTTTCGACCGGTGTTTATATAGACTTTATGCATTAATTTTAAAAGTTCTATCGAATCTTAAAGTTATGCAAAAATAAACTGAAACACCCTGTATTTTGATGCACTACAGAGTATTCCAACCAAACTGCCAATTCCACCGACAAGAATATATGATTTTTTAAGGGACTGCACTTGGTTGCATATCTTTAATGATGCATTCAAAACTGTCATTGTGTAAATTATTATAATTATTACCAATTACGTGTATCTAAAATTTCCTATAACGTGATCACTCATTTTGTAATTTCTCATGCCTAGTTTGTTTATCTGAACTATTTTTGCAAGTACGATTTCAGTTATCACACGCGATATACGCAGGCAACTACACGATCGAAATTATTACATTTATCACTCACTTCCTTTTCCGTATCCAAAACCGCACTTTGCGTTTTGACTTCCTTCTGGTACTCTTCTTCGTCTTCTGACAAGTTTGTTCTTTTTATATTGTTGTTCAACGGTTGTAAATAATTTCTTGACATGGATTCTTGGTATAGTTTCCATTTCCTTCGGCCCATCAACTCTTCAGCGATTTTTTCCAACCCTGCAACAGATGAAAGATCGTTGAAAAAGCAGTCCAGAATGTGTATCTGACAGACCGCTTTACAAGACCATTTTGTATTTTGAAATCCCAACAAGCGAAATCTCAAATTATCCAATGTCGTTTAAATGAAATTTGTATGCTAAAAGAATTTATTATGAGCTTGAACCAGATACCCATTCGGGTACCTCTTATTTGACTTAGCACAGGGTTTGAGAATCATTAGGAAAAGTAACAGGTAACCTTTAGATCTTCCGTCAGAGAAAAAGCTCCCAATATTTCATCTGTGATTCAATGTTTAATATTTTATCACGAAAAAACATGTCACTTATTTCCGGTGCCTGACTGTTGCCTGTTTGGCAATCATTGGCCGCTTTATAGCTATAAGATACTGACTGGATTTTGCTAAAGATAACTACCATACCAAAGGCGAAAATGTTCGTGCATCTGAATATTTTTGGGCGGAGGTAAAATATTTTCTAACTCGATTTTTTTTTAATCGAGTTAATTGTTAGGTCCCCTGAACATGGATCAACAGTTTGTCGGAAGGCAACCCGGTGGTAAAGGCACCACAGAAATTTAATGGGGAATATATTTTTCGGCTGTTTTTAAAGAAAAATTGAGATGTTCTAGAATCAAAACGTAGAAGTATCCATGGGCCCAAAGTTTTTGCACTGCTAGTTTCCGAGATAAAAGGCATCCAAGTTGGGAAGTCTGTATACTATAACAACATATCAAGGGTTCGATATAGTCTAATCATATTAGTAAATTTCCACGAAACAATTGTAAAGTATGATTTTATTAGTGCATGTTGTTCAAGGGGGTATTTGAAACATTGTCGCATAAAATGGGTATACTGATTTTTGTGGGAAAACAACAAATAATGAGAAAACGTGTTTTTTGGAATTCAATCGAAAATTTTGACAGGAACGATAAAACTTTTATATAAGATTTTTGGGTATTAATGGGACCTACAAAATGAAACTACACGTAAAAAGATCTGACTAGTAGCAAAAATGTTATGGCCGAAAAACGAGGCAAAATGCAGGTTTCGGCACTTGTTCGTAATGCGACGATAATTTCACTTAGGAATTCGTACTTCTAAATAACCACAACAAAATTGGAGTCTATTGGTCAAGAAGTTTTTTTAGAATTCCTAATTGCTTATCCTAAAACACCTGTCTTCCGGCCATCACTACTAGTTTATTGAGCAATATACAGGGTTCGTTCAAAGAGCATTAAATAGCAAAATACACGTGTTTCGAAAGATAAATGTTATGTTTATGTGAAAAACAAAGGTTATGTCTTTTTCTTCTAAACAAATTTATTTCATATCACATCTCGTATTTGTGAGCAATAATTGAAGAACATTCGAAAAACGTACATTACTATACACATTTTAAAACAAAGCGGATGTGTCTATCATCTTTTGTTGCGAATTTCTAACAAATACGAAATGTTTGAATTTGTTTAGAAGAAAAAACGTAACGTAACCCATTCTTTTTTTGCACAAAATTACATTTATCTTCCGGAATGGTTTGCGATTCATATCGGCAAGGCAAAATAGTGTATTCAGCTATAAAATGCAATTTGAACTAACCCTGTATATTGCTCAATAAATTAGTAGTGATGACTGGAAAACAGGTGTTTTGGAATAAACAATTAGAAATTCTCAAAAACTACTTGACCAATCTACACCAATTTTGTTGAGGTTATTCAGAAGTACGAATCCTACGAATTTGAAGAATTCCAAGTATTTGCGAGAAACCATCGTTGCATTACCAACAAGTGCCAAAACCAGCAGTTTGCTTCGGTTTTCGGCCATAACTTTTTTGCTATCAGTCGGATCTGTTTATGTGTAGTCTCATTTTGTAGGTCTCATAAATACCTAAAAATCTTATACGGAGAGTTTTTTCGTTCCTGTCAAAACTTTCGATTGAATTCCAAAAAACACGTTTTCTCATTATTTGTTGTCAAATAAATGTTTTAAATACCCCCTTGAACAACTTGCAGCAATAAAACCAGAGTTCACAATTATTTCGCAAACCAAGGGTATTTTCGCATAATATGATTAGACTAATACACGATATGTAATAGCTGTTGATATTTATTTACGTTCTTATCATCATTAGTACTGGCCGACTCACCGACTTTGCTATGGTATCATTAGTGCAGGGTGGCCCAAGCTTGTATAGATGAAGTATCACTCCGAGGCACAAACTTTTTCAAAACTGCTGAGGGTTATCCTACACCTGCAGCTGAGCTGCATATCAAAGTTGCTTTTTATATGTACCAATACTTTTATTTCCATATTTGCATACTCCTGCGTTTTGTCAAGTTTTTCTTTAAGATAATATATTTTTTGTCTAAACAAGATGAAAGTATATCAGCCCGTATCTTATCCACTTTAATAGAGTAAAACAAATGCATTTTTAAGAGGATTCCCTTAATTTTGTCACATAAACACACTTAAGTACCTATCTAGAAATCAACTCCGAAATACTGAATTTGCGAATGTGAAACTACACGGGGTAGCTTATTTCAATCTTTTGACGAACAATGAATTATGTGTCGTGGAAAGTGAATTTAATTGATTCGAACAATTCAAGGAATGGGTAAGCTAGGTAGCAACTGAAGACTGTATGCTCTTGTAGAAAATTCCGTCACTACTATGCCTTTTGCACATGTCGAGTTATTGTTTGTCTTAGCTTCATTTTACCCACCTATTCAACAAAATTCATGAGTATGTAGATCTATCTAAATCTGTAATAAAACTATCTATCATAAATGTTATGCAGGTAATTAGTGGAACAGCCTGTATGGTCCTGAATATCTTTGCATTTTATTACCATAGAGACATAGAAGGATAATTATGAATAGTTTTTTGAAAAGTTTGTGTCTTGGAGCAATACACCACCCATGCAAGTCTGGTCAACTCTATAACTGTGACAAAATTGCAATGTTGCTGGATCGGCACATAGACACCTGTCTTCTACGCGTTGAGATCTATATCATACTAATTTAAAGAAAAGCCAAAAGCCATTTCACATTTCAGCTAAGTCTGTTAACCGTTTTCAAACAAAATACAAAGATTTGTTTTATTTGCTCTTGGATGATTCTGAACAAAAAAGGTTTATTGAATTTTTTTCTCTAAAGTTGTCTGCTTTTAAGATATAAACGATCTTATCTCTGAAAAGCCCTAAAAATGGTTATTTCTAATGAATAAAAAATTGTTCGGCCCTTCGACATTTTGCATACCGTCCAGCAAATCATAACAACAATTACTAAGATAGTTTTTCGTAATGCATACAAAACGAACTAAAAGCTTAGCTATTTTGGTCTGCGAATATCGTGCGCCGTAGTACATCCCTTGCTTATCCATGGGAATAAGATGACTTATGCTGTTTTCATCAACATTGAAATGTTATGAATAACTTTACGCGCAAGTGTGCATACTATTTTAGAGCAAATTATCCTTACTCTTGAATAAGCTACGTATCGCTGTGCACCGGCCTTCCTTTGTTGAATTCAACAGTAGCGAATGTTTCAAGGATACTTCTTTTTGAAACCGGGAAGAAGTTTTTAAGCACTATACTTTTCACCACGACGAAACAGATTTTAGGGTAAGACGAGAGCCGAATTCACACATGGCTTTTGTAGTTGTGACTTACTGACCTTGTTAACTGTGACCTAGTAGAGGTGCATGTACAGTCTGATAGATGTAGTTTTGTAGAGGCACGGCATTTTATTGCTTAAATACTGGGTGTTAACAAATACATTTTACGAAATCAAAAGTTCACCAATTTTGGCCTAACAGACAAGGTTAAAAATGGCTTTAAAATAACCTCAAAATACTCTTCAGGGTCCTGTTAAGCAAAGTTTAAACTTTAATTTAGATATTTGATCGCCTCAAAAACTATAATTCTTAAGCATTAAATATACCAATTTTTAGGATTTCTCAGATATTAGGTTAAATTTTTTCTGTTCGGAACGTGTGAAAAAAGTTGTTTAAACAAATTTGGGTTACCGTGCTGGTATATTCTATGCTTTAAAACTCTGTTTAAAATCATAACTTTTGAGGTCCCTAAGTATATAAATTAAAGCTAAGACGTTGCTGTACAGCACCGTGGAGAGTATTCTGAGATTGGTTTATTTTAAAGTAATTTAAACCTTAAAATTGGAGAACTTTTGCTTTTCATATTCTTGGATTGGTTTACTATTCAGTATTATCGCAGTACTCCAAAGCTCTGAGATTTCGGGATACCCTGACTAGTAGCGTAAGAGGTCATAGTTTCAACGTGTTCGCATTTTATGTTTTCATTATTGGTAACATAAATTTCTGGTGTCCACTCAGGTGACCCATCTTTTTAGGGGACTCATAAGACGAAGCAGCTCTATCTACATAAATGCATATTACCCTTTTCAAAGTAGACTTCTAATTACTTCGGAGAGGAGAAATATAGGTGTGACAAATTCTTATATTCGACATTATGGTATGTCATTTCATTTCGGATACTTTTTCGAACACTGGGTTGGCTATCTTTAGGTAAAACACGTTAAACAGTGATAAAAGTAAGACTGACTTAACTCAATTTCTGATGGCTGGCTTTAAGCTCAGTAATTATTATTATAAAGTAGTATCCAGTACTGCTTTCCTCCACTCATGACTTCTGCCAGACTCTTTTAAACAATATTGGTGATCCAATATAAATTGACCTCTGTCTAATTTGTTTGTATGAAGGTACAGAAAAAAAGTTACATATACCTAAAAATTGGATGTATCGGAAAAATAGTTGACATCACTAAATCGAGAAATTAAACGTCTCGGAAATATTGTTTGCCAAAGATTCATTGTTTCCCTAGCTGTGTGACAAGTTGCTCCGTCCTGCTGGAATAACAGGTAAAATTGTTGGATTGGAGGAGCCAGAAAGTTTTGCACCATATCATGGTAGAGGTCGCCAGTGACAGTAAGAGAATTACCTGCAGCGTCTTCAAAGAAGTAAGG